AAACACAAACACAAAAAAACGAATCTAATAAAAACAGCCACGTAGAGGTTATAACTCATGGCTTTTTAAATGATGACCCTATGGAAGAGTCTGTAGAGCTCAAGGAAATCTGTGGGTACTTACCAGATACTTTTGGCTCCAGGTTTCAGTGTCGGCAGGTTAATGGAGAAGGGAAAAGGGAAATAGGTGGATTTGTAGGTATTACATAATGTCTGAATCTGTGCTGGTTACACAATACTCAGAAAAGCTCAGAGAATCAATGAAAAAAACAAGGATAACCAGGGCCATCCCGAAGCAACATCATTACAAAACTCCTCCAGTCAAAAGATGCCAGTAAAGAAACTTTGTACCGAAGTCCCTATTTAACATAGCTAAGTCTCCTGTTAATATCATCCCTCTGATGCTTACCCAATATGTCAATTTCTTCCTTGCTTGCCCTTTATACCAAGTCAGCTTTAAATTTGTGTTCTGTAATGCTGCCAATATTCTCCACATGTTACAGATTGTTTATCCTAAAATGTTCCTTCTATGGTGTGGTTCATCGGGAACCTACTATAGTCTGGTGGTAACGAAGCTTAATTGGAACCACATAGTTTTGAGTTACCTGAAAAGCTAACACTGATGATATAATGCATTGATATTCTTTGCATTTATCAACTGGCGGCAAAACTAAAATGACATTTCATTTTACAGACTCATTTTGCTTTCCACATGCATAAAATATCACAGTTTGGGGGAAAAAAATTGAATTATATCCTTGGTCAGAGCCAAAGTAGTTTCAGATGCTTTTAGGTGTCTTAGGTCCATTAGATGGCATGCATTAATGCACACTAATATTTCTTAAAAGTTATGTAGCAATAGACTTTTGCTAATGAGTTTGGCATGCTTAGACATTAGATTTTTAAGAAAATCTATAAACTAAACTGAATCTGTCATTCAAATCTGCTTTGGAAAAGAAATTAAAGCAAGAGCTTTCACAAATTTTTAAAAGGTAAATTATATTAAGACAAGGTTGTCATTTAAATTCAAATCCCTATTTCTGAGTATGATGCATGATTAAAAGGCATTATATGGAAAATATAAGCAAATATTAACACCTTAATACAGCATTAAAAAAAAAAGAAAGAAAAAAAGCAGTGGAAACCTGAGTAAAAAGAAGCCAGGAAGCAGCTGAAAAAGAGACCGGTTCACTGTGAGAAATGTAAACCTCTCAGACAGTGCTACGGCCCCGAATCCAACAGCTCAGGAACAAGGCCAATTATTGCAAAATATTAAACATATATGGTAAAGCTGCAAACCTTTCAAAAAAGAGTCATAAGAATGAAAGCAGCTACACAGAAAACAGCCAGGGCCGCATAAACCCAAAATCTTTGCTATAAGTACTATGTGCAGGAACGGTTTTTTTATATCAAGCTCCTTATATGTAGTATACTTTATAGTATTCAAGCTGTAAAGTTTATGATAAAGGGTTAAGATAATAAATCCTTACTATTGTAAATGGCAAATAACCATATCTTTTGAAATAGTTGTTTGTGTAACTCCAGTTATTGACAGTAAGTCATTAAGCTATTGCAAACCAGTCTTCCAATATTCCACCTTTCTGAACTAAAAAGGTCTCAGATAAGATAGAAACCAGAATCATGGAATTTTAGAGTACACAGAGGCTTCAACAGACAATACAGTAAACCTCCCTTACTTTGGAAGCAAGTAAATTGAAACCCAGAAGCTTTAAGTGATAGATCTAATACCAGTTAAAAATGAAAAAGGGCTGTCAGGATTTTACTCCTGTTTTCCTTCACACTATACATTCCATTGTCTGAAAATCCTCATGTAGCCAGAATTTCTTCTGCTTCTGTTGACTGGGGTTGACTTAACCTTGTTTTGAATGACCATGACAGTTTCATATTCATAACACAAGATATATATATTCATTCCTCAGCAACAGGGTTAGCACTGTTTTCAATTCAAGTCCCGTAAGAGATGAGAGGTTTGTTGTTAAGGGGATCAATAACTATTGTGGACCTCTGACACGCATGTGGGATAGAAGACCAAAGCATTTTATCCTTGAGATATCTCCCCAACCTTCTTCCTGCCGCCAAAAGGGAAAATAACAGAAGATCTTTTATTTCTCTTGCCATATCCCCTGGTTTAAGAATACTTAATTCAACAGGTAAAAACAAACAAAAAACCCCCCCAAAAAAACCCCCAAAACCCCCAAAACCACTTAATTCAATTGGATTTGTTAAGTTAGGGGACAATTTCTTTAAATACATATATAAACATTTAAAAATTATTTATTTGTGCCCCAGTGAAGAACTGTTCCAAATCTATTGTTTTCATTATTTGGTTGAATAATTAGTTTTACCCTTTTATGTAATAAAAGAAAATATGTTTCTTCACTAAATGTTGTTTGACAAGAAACAAAAATGTAAGAGACATTAACAAATTATTTCTAATTTTAATCAGACCGGGATGGTGGAATGTATATAGGGAAATATAAAGAAAAAAATAAAAAAATGAAATCCAGAAAGTATGATGTGTACATATCAAAATGTAAATTAAGGAAGGAGAAATTGCTATAAATCTGTTAAAAAAATCAGAAAAAATTGCCTTGTCCATTTCCCACTGCATTTTACTTTTCTATTAGGATATACACACAAACATAAATGCACACTTTTCTATATGCTTTAACATAAAAAATAACCATCAGCTAACTACAAATTTTTAGATTATAACTTTTTTAGTAGTTAAAATCCTAATTCCATTAAAAGGTTAAAATTACCAACACAATACTTGCCACTGGCACTACTGAACTTTTCTTTAAAGAGGAATTTGCTATTGTACTTATTAACATAACATTCCTTTCCCTTTCAGATAAGGATGCTTTGAGGATTAATTTCTCTTTTTTTTCCTCACACTGAATGATATTCAACTAACTTACACCTGTAAACTGAGAGGACAGTACATAAAATAACTGGAAGGACAAATTCTATATAACAAGTTATATTGTAATGACTTTAAGAGTCAAACATAATGTCAAAAATTATTCAGACATACTTTTTTCTGTGCCTGTACTATATGGATGCAATCTAACTTATTTTCATTTCCTTCCTTCTCACCATAATTAGCATTAGAAAAAATCCACAATTAAAGTATCACTGATGATAAAAACACCTACTACCTACAACATAGATATTTTGGCCTTCAACTGGGAGGAGTGGCATATTCAGTTGTTTTCCATTACGTGGGAATATTTTTGCTGAGATGCATTTGTAAAAGCACACTGGTCCGGCCTGTGATTTAAAGTTTTCATTCTGTAGGCAGTTTGACAATGCAGAGGAATAAAAGTTTAGCGATGGAAAAGAACGAAACTAATAAGCTCACACAAATATAGAGCAAAGGATCTCTGCTTGCCTCAACTGGCTGTACTAATAAACTAAGTTAATTAGTCACACAGAAGATATTTGAATTGGGAGAGTAAAGGTAAATTTCTTTTTTGTTAAATGACATTAACTATAGTCTGTATTATAATTTTGAAAGAAAAAAAAATCAAGACAAAACAATATGAAACATCAGTCACTGTGGCCCAGGAAAACTCAGAAAATAATTATTAGAATAAAACAACAATGTGTTTAAAGCTAATGAATGAACAGTGTCACAAGGAATATTCCCATATAAAGAACTTTTGATGACTTTCAAAACTGGAGCATGTACTAATTTATATTATTTGAAGTGGACTGTATTATCAAACTTCAGGAAAACTTGAACTAAAGGGAGTCACAATTAAGACAGAAGACAAATTCTAAGTTGGCTAAAATGAACAATGTTTGTACTCAATATCCTTTGGAAGAACATTGGCCACAAAAAAGGGAAGACCTTATACTAAGTGTAAGATGACTCCTAGGAACAATGGATTAAGAACCTGAAAGTTCCCCTACTGGGGTGATAAGTAAGAATCCTCTCTGGTTAAGGAAGTTGGTGATTCACAATGATCACCGAAGACTGCAAAAGTGGGGAGAAGCAAGAATACTTCTCTTCAGATTGCCTGGTGCAGGCATCTTTTTCCTAAAACTGCGGCTCCCCTTAAGACTTGCAAATAATATCAAGAGCAAGAAACTGCCTAAGTGGAGGGTTTTGTGGCCTCAGTGAGTCATGCTGATATAGTGTGAGCGCCTCCAACAGTGACAACCAGCTAAAAAGGCCTCAAAGATACCAATAAACATTCCGCTTCAACCGCTAGAGTTATGGAAGGCTGAAAAGTACCTTATTACACATCTAGGGCAGAAATACAAATCTAGGTGGGAAGCACAGAAAGAAATGAATTCAGTCAAGATCGTTTTTTCCGCTGAGGTCACAGCAGTTTTCACTGAAACCTTAAAGAAAATTTAAGAGGGGCAAAAGGAAAAGAATCTTCTGAGTTTTAACATATGAGATATGCCTAGTATTAGATTGCATTTGGTTTAAAAATACCTTTCACTATACAACCAGCAAACTGAAAAATAAAACACAAAAAAGATATTTAAGGACATCATTCCTTTTAAAAGCATACTGAGACCAAGACATCAAAACATCTTCACCAGGCTAAATTCTAAAAGTTGGGTCACTTGGGTCCTTGCTTCTAGTTAGTTGTTCAGGAGACATCTTAGCTTGCCTCATCTCTCTTTTGTTGTTAACAGAGGTGGATTATTGGTCCCCAAAGGAGGCTTTACTACAATGGCAGGGAGCAACATGCAGCTGCTCACCACTCTGCTTTGCCTGGTATAGTCTTCTCATTATGGCTCTAAACACTTTACCATATAAACCTGGCAGAGTTATTTTCTGGCAGGTGCTAAGATTTGCACACTCTTTCAATCTCAGTGGTTTGTATATTCATATGAATCATATCTGAGACCCCTGACAGGCAGAGGGTGGCAATATCTTAATGGTAAGACTGAAATAAAGCAGAATGAAAAAAGCAATATCCATAGCTAAGAGATCATAGCCTCAGAAGTATTACTCACCTGTCTGCTGTGTAGGCTGTGGCAGTGGTTGGTTTAGATGTGAATTGTAATGGACAGAAGGGACTGGACGGTACTGAGGTTGACTGGAGTGATAGTGGCCTGGAGCACAGTAACAGGCTGGCATCTAGGGTAAGTATTGAAAGAAAAAAAGTCCATTTCACTTGCAACAGAAATGTCTTCTCTGAGGAACAACAGAGTGTTATGAGTAATACTTCTTAATACCATCCGAAAAAAATTTTCTTAGCTTTAAGTTTAACTGAAAAATTTTTTAAAAATTTCAAGCATGCAGTATATGTAACAGAAGACACCTACAAATATGCCCATCAGTTAGATTTAATAGGTTTAAAGTTTTGGGGCATAATTGTTTCAGATTTTTCTCCCTCTTTTATAAAACCAAACACTACTGAAATAGCTAAGGGCTCACTCCAACATTCTTTTGCCCTATGTTCAACAGAAAAATCATTATCCTATAATAGGTTGGTATATATGATTCCTATAAATGTTTTTAAACTGTTACTATACATATGTTATCCGTAAAGAAAACTGTTGAGGGTTTAAAAAATTTACATTTATGGTACTCTACTACATAAAACTCCATGCAACTTATTTTGCAATTAACATTCTTTTTCGAGACTTATCTTGGTTGAAACATGTACACTCATGCTCATTCAATCTGAATGCTGAACTGCAGTCATTGTATAAACAGCCAGTTTATCTATTCTCACACTAATACACAGTTGCGCTGGTTCCATTCTTTTTCTCATACTTCTAATGTAAATTAAAAGGCCAATACAAATCTTATTTGTCAATTATATCTTAATAAAGCTGGGGAAAAACCCAGTAAGACTAGCTTAATTCTATTTCCTTCCGGAGCTATTTATATCAGTTGTGCATTTCTCTTAAAGTAATCTGACCTATTTTGGAATGAGGAATAAACAATTAATTCAGTGATGTAGAAGTTTGTGGTAAATTAACTTTATTAGCTTCATAAGCTCTTTCAGGTTATGCTCTTCCAATTGGGTTACTTCTAAAAGAGGAGACATCTGTAGACATCTTAAAGAGTGTCTATTTCATCTGCAAACCAGCTGAATACAGAATTTCTAGATCAGTTATAAGCCAAGAATCTCCTAAATTTACTGTTAACATTCTTCTGTTTTTGAACCATTAGATGCAATACATTTGTGATCCCTTAATTGTTCCTGGAGGTATCAGCAAGCAATTGGTATGACCTAATTTCAGATCTTAATCTATTATTATACTTTTCAGTATGCGTATAAATAAGAGTATACACTTTTCTCCCACTTAATTAAAAAAAAGACATCATTGTTTAAGGCAAAAATGGTAACCAATATATATTTTATTTATAATGTATACACATGCAATGTATATGACAACAGCACAAACAACCGAGGGTAAATAAAATTATACTGTCAATGTGACTACTATATTTTACTTGCAGTTTCATATGAACTTGAAATAGATAGTAATAACCTAAAGATACAGATCATATGCCTAAAGAAACTATACAAACATGAGATTTAAAGGACTGTAGTAAAAAGGCCAAAGAAAAAATAAATTAGAACACTAAAGGAGTTCAAATAATACAAAAGGCAGGATAGGAGGCATATAGGAATAAAATAGAACAAATGGAAAACAAATAGCAATGTGGCATACCTACCTCTAACCATGTCAACAGACCTATTAAAGCTAAGAGGACTAGACATTCCAATGAGACTAATAGAACAGCAAAGATGAACTATATAACTATATGCAAAAGACAGACTTTAAATATTAAGGTCACAAATTAGAGGACAGAAAAGGCATACCACTTAAATGCTCATCAAAAGAATGCTGAAGTCACTATATTGAAGTCAGATAAAATAGGTTTTAAGACAAGAAACAGTACTAGAGAGAGAGAGAAAAACATTTCATAATGATAGGAGTCAATATATCAGGTAGAAATGATAAATATAAATCGCTTAATACAGGTTTCAATATTATTAAAAAACTGGCAGAATTTAAGGGAGAAATAGACAAATCCACTATCACTTATTGGTAGAACTGGATAAAAGACTGGAAAGACACGAATCAACAACATCGGCTCAACTAATACTTAGAGAATACTAAATGCAAGAAACAGTAAAATATGAAAGAAATGAAAGATGACCTAAGTAAATGGAAAGACATCCCATGTTCATTAAGACTGGAAGATTTAATATTAAGATGTAGTAATATCCAAAGCAATCCACATACTCAATGCAATCTCTATCAAAATTTTAATGGCCTCTTTTGCAGAAATGGAAAAGCCAACCATCAAATTTACATGGAATCGTAAGCCATATAGGCAAGTAGTCAAAGCAATCTTGAAAAAGAACAGTTGGAAGACTCACAATCCCTGACTTTAAAAACTTACCACAAAGATATAGTAATATAATAGTGTAGTACTGGCATAAAAGTGGAAACATAGAGAATAGCATAAACTGAGAGTCCAGAAATAAACTCTTACATTTATGGTCAACTGATATTTGACAAGGGTACCAAAATCATTCAGTGGGAAAAGCATGCTTCAACAAATGATGCCAGAAAAGATAGATACACACATGCAAAAGAATGACATTGGACCCTTATGCCTCATTATCATATGCAAAAATTAACTCAAAATGGATAAAAGATCTAATTTTGGAGCTAAAGACCACAAAACTCTTAAAGGAGAACATAAGGATAAAATCTTCATAACTGTGGATTTGGCAATGGATTCTTAGTTATGACTAGAAAAGCAATGAGCAGTAAAATGAAAAGAGATAAAATGGATTTTATCGAAGTTAAATTTTTGTACATTTAAGGACATTATCAAAAAGTCAAAAGACAAGAGAACAGGTGAACATATTTGCAAATCACACTCCTGATGAGGGTCTAGTATACAGTATATATAAAGACCTCTTACAACTAAACAACAAAAAGACAATCTCCTGAAAAATTGGCAAAGGACTTAAAAGAGACAGTTCTCCAAAGAAGACAGACAACAGCCCACAAGTACATGAACAGATGATCACCACCACCAATCATTAGGGAAATACAAGTCAAAACCACAAGGAAATACACACTTCACATCACCAGGATAGCTGAGATAATAATAACAACTTTTAAAAAGGTAAATAATAAGTGTTACTTTGTCAAAATGTGGAGAAACTGGAACCTCTATACATTGCAGATGGGAATATAAAATGACACTGTGGAAAACAGGCTGGCAATTTCTCAAAAAGTTAAACACAGATATACCATATAATTCAGCAATTTTATTCCCAGGTATATATCCAAATAAATGAAAGTGGATATCTGAATAAAAACATGTACCTACATGTTCATAACAGCACTGTTTACAATGGGCAAAAGGTAGAATGAACAAATGGTATATTCATACAATGGTATATTATTCAGGGCGCCTGGGTGGCTCAGTCGTTAAGCATCTGCCTTCGGCTCAGGTCATGATCCCAGGGTCCTGGGATCGAGTCCCACATCGGGCTTCCTGCTCAGCGGGAAGCCTGCTTCTCCCTCTCCCACTCCCCCTGCTTGTGTTCCCTCTCTTGCTGTGTCTTTCTGTGTCAAATAAAAACAAACAAACAAACAATGGTATATTATTCAGACAAAAGAAGGAACGAGGTACTGATACATGCTACAACGTGGATTAACCATCAAATATGTTAAGCTAAAGAAGCCAGACACAAAAGGTAACAATATTGCATGAGTCCATTAATATGAAGTATCCAAAACAGGCAAATCCTTGGAGACAGAAAGCAGACTGGTGGTTGCCAGGGGCTGGGGGCTGGGGCAAATAGGTAGTAACTGCTTAATGAGTAGAGTTTTCTTTTGGGGTGATAAAAATAAAATGTTTTGGAACTAGAGAGAGGTGATTGTTGGAAAACATTCTGTATGTACTAAATGTCACTGAATTGCTCACTTTGAAATGGTTAATTTTATGTTATGTCAACTTTATCTCAAAACAAAACCAAAAGAAATCACAAAACACTGAAATGATAAAATACAAATTCTTCTCTTTTTTTTTAAAGATTTGATTTATTTATTTGACAGAGAGACAGAGAGCACAAGCAGGCAGAGCGGCAGGCAGAGGGAGAGGGAGAAGCAGGCTCTCGCTGAGCAGGGAGCCCAACGCGGGGTTCAATCTCAGGACCCTGGGATCATGACCTGAGCCGAAGGCAGACGCTTAACCGACTGAGACACCCAGGCATCCCTAGAATACAAATTCTTTTCAAGTGCACATGATCTTCCCCCAAAAGACTACATACTGGTACATAAAATAACAAGAGATTCCAATAAACAATGAAATCTTAGATTCTCTGATCACATGAAATTAGAATAGAAATCAGTAATAATAAGGTATTTAGAAAGCCCCAGGTATTTGGAAATTAAATAACACACTTCTAAATAAATCACCTGTCAAAAAAGTCATACACATACAAAAAAGAGAAAACATTTTGAACAAAATGATAACAAAAACACAACACATCCAGTTTTGTGGGTTGCAGCTAAAATGATGCTTAGAGGGAAATTTATAGCATTAAAAAATTTATGTTAGAAAGGAAGAACAATCTAAAAATCAATGATCTATGCTTCTACCTTAAGAAGCCAGACACAAACAAAGGAGCAAATGAAACCCAAAATAAGCAGAAAAGAAGAAAACAATGGTAAAAGTAGAAATCGTTCAAATAGAAAATGAATAATAAAATTAATGAAATCCTGTTGGTTTTTAAAAAACATCAATGGAATTGATAAATCTTTTGAGTAAATAAAGCAAAAAGAAGAGAGGAGTGAAACTATCAACATTAAGAATTACAGAGGTGATACCACTATAGATCTTTTTTTTTTTTTTAGGTTTTGTTTATTTATTTGACAGAGAGAGACAGCGAGAGAGGGAACACAAGCAGGGGGAGTGGGAGAGGGAGAAGCAGGCTTCCTGCGGAGCAGGGAGCCCGATGTAGGGATCGATCCCAGGACCCTGGGATCATGACCTGAGCTGAAGGCAGACAATTAACGACTGAGCCACCCAGGTGCCACACCACTATAGATCCTTAAAATACTAAAATTATAATAAGGGGATATCATGACTGACCGTTTGCCAATAAATTTGACAATTAAATTGATACAATCTATAATATTCAATCCAAAAAGGAACAGGAAATTGGATTAGCTCTATATCCACCAAAAAATTGACTTTGTAATTTTAAAATCTTCACTACAAAAAAACTCCAAGTCCAGATGCATTAGTGAATTCTAGCAAATATTTAAGAAGGATGTTAAGAAGAATCCTACACCAACTGTTTTAGGAAATGAAGGAGGCAACAATATCCAATTCATTTTGAAGCCAGTATCACTGCCATCTTGATACTACAACCTGAAAAAGACATTACACACAAACTACAGACCAATAACCATTATGAACATGCATGCAAAAATCATTAAGAAAATATAAGCAAAATGAATCCAGTAATATATAAAAAGATATTCTATCATGACTAAGTGGGAGTGTGCTCTCAAAATGAAAGGATTAACTTAACATTCAAAAATCACAGTAATTCGCTGTATAAATAGAACAAAATGGAAAAATCACATGATCATCTCAACAGATGCAGAAAAGGAAATTTCACAAGATTTAATACTCAATTCATGGTAAAGACTCTCACCAAACTAAGAGAATTTTCTCAACATAATAGAGGGCATAATAGAGGGCAAAAAATTCCAGATAATCTCAGAGTTAATGATGAAAGACCAAATGCTTTTCCTAAGACTGGAAACAAGGAAGAATATGTACTTTCAAAATTTAGCTTTAAGTTAATAAATGAATTCTAGGGATTTTACTTCTTCCTGTTGTGTGTATATTCAACATTAGTGCTCATAAGTAATTCAATAAGGCAAGTAATTCAATAAAAGGCATATGTATTGGAAAATCCTAAGCAGTCTATGAAAAAAGTACTAGAATAATTAAATTTAGAAAGTCTACAGGATACAAGATCAATATACAAAAATCAACCTTATTTCTACATATGAGCAAATGATGAATAGAAAATGAAATTTTAAAATAATCTCTTTTAGAATACTAAGTATTTTTTTTTTAAGGTTTTATTTATTTGAGAGAAAGCGAGAGCACGTGCAAGTGGTGGGGAGGGGAGAAGGGTAGAGAAGCAGATTCCTTGCTGAGCAGGGATCCTGATGCAGGGCTCAATCCCAGGACCCTGAGAGCATGACCTGAGCTAAAGGCAGACGGTTAACCAACTGAGTACCCAGGCGCCCCACAAAGCATTTAAAAACATTACATACTTAGAGATATATTTAATAAAATATATGCAATATTTATATAATGAAAACTACAAAATACTGTTGAGAAAAATTAAGGAATATCTAAGTAAATGCAGAGAAATAACAATAAAGCTTTATTAGTATTACGATGTTATTAATTCTCCCTAAATTAACCTACTTCTTCCTGAAATACATCATCTTATTTTTATACTGTATTTACCTTATTGTGTTTCTCTTAAGCCAATTAAAACAAATCAGTCAAGAGGAAACCCAAAGGTCGCATATTTTTAACCATCCAGCCAACTGAAGTGTCTACCAGTCATGTGGTTGTCTAGCATATATTTGAGAATCTCCAGAGAAGGGAAGATGATGACCAGCTTTGTTTATACATTGTCACAAATTCTCTCCACGTGAAATTAAGCTCTCTAGTTAGGGTTAAACTGATCTTAAATGAAGAGGTTTCCATGGGAGAAAAGATGAAAAAGCGCCGTACCTGTGGTGAGGGCTGAATATATCCCTGCTGCTGCAGCACAGGCTGGCTGACAGGATGGCCAGAGGCAGAATAGCCAGCAGTAGGGACTGGCTGCCCGGGTGGCAGGGGAGGAGGGGGAGGTGGCGGCGGCGGTGGTGGTGGTGGTGGAGGGGCTGCCGTCATGATATAACCAGACTGCTGTGGGGACTGAAGAACAACAGTGGACTGGAACATGGTGGCATGAGGGTCAGAACCATCTGCAGATGGCTGGCGGGCAAGACTCATGTGGCTAAACTGAGACCCAAGGTTGTCCGGCTAAAAAAGGGAAAAGGGAAAAGTCAGAAATCAGTAAGCCTTCCATACATACTTACCAAAAAGCTTATCAACCAAGCGTATTGAAAAACCCCCACTTCATATATTTTAAGATGATTTGCAGTAGTATGCATTATGGATATCATACATCTACAACAGATATGACTTAATAGAACAGCTTCAATAAAATTAGAACTCTAAGGCAGGAAAGTAGGAATATTACAGTGCTGTCATTACAAATTACTTAGAAAGTGTATCTAGTAGAGTGCATAGCATGCAGAAGAGTAGGGTGTAACAGTATTTCACAATAAAAATGAAAAGACACTTATTTAAATGATTAAAGGCACATTAGGATGTGGAAGTGAAACTGGACATATTTATATTATACACTTAACATTTTCTGAAGGGACCTCAAGGACCAGGTAACTAGCAAGGCATGGTACTAATTTATTCTCTTTACCTCTCTTCCTAAAAGGCAAGATTCTGCTTCTATGACCTCTGTATATCTTAGGATACCTGTTGAATAATACTAGCAAAAACGAAATAAAATATATAAAATCTACCCACCCCAGTCTTCTAATCTCTCAAAAATAATGTGGCCATAAATTCTATTCTTCCCTAGTGTTTTTCAGTCTTAAAGTCAGACGTTAACACAAATTTAATCCAAATGATAGTTTCCTACTGCTTTTGCTACTTGGTGAGCAGGCAGTGGTGTCCAGCCACGAGAGGGTTATGATTTACATGCCATCTGACAAATGTTTTCTCTGACTCAACAGCATAAGGACCAGTTCTGACTGGTCTAGACAATATCACTGAAATGATAAAAATGGGGTTAAAATGGCATCCCCTTGCTCCCAAAGAGACAGAGATTCGCAACAATATGTATCACAATTTGTTAAGAGGAGAATTTTGGAAAAAGTTATTTAAAAAATTGTGGCAATTGAGTTGTCAGTTCAAAGTTGACGTGTCTGCAATTTCTACAGTCGGCTGGTTTTTGCAAAGTACATTATGGCTACAGAGGAGACAAGGGATCGAAAAGGGGAACCTGATTCAATAACTGAAAATATGTGGTTTTTTCCCAATGCTGCTCAGACATACTCTAGCACTATTAGCCTAATTCAATGAATACTTTCAAAAGGGAAAAATGTACCAAAATATACTTATTAGCTGTAATTACATAGTAATCTGGCCAAATATTTCAATTATACACCACCATCAGAGTCATCTCAAAAAAAAAAAAAGTCATTTTCTTATTCCAATTATCCACCATGTTTCAAAACATTTTTGAGGCTATTATGCTATTCTTAATGATGCTTTCCATCTTCTCAATGCTGGCAAAATTTTATTTTTTCAGACTGGAAGTCATTTTTGAAAATCATTCAGAGCCGATGCTGTTAAATAAGGTTGCCGCCAGCTCAAAACAAAAACACTCCCAATAAAAGAAAAACGTTTCTAAAAAGTGTCAAGTGACTTTAAGATATAGCTTACATTTTAACTTGAAAAGTAATGTCAAAATGTGATGCCATATAGTCTGGAAAAATAACAGCATCACTGGGAAAAGTATATTAGGCTGAGACTCATTTTAAGGGAGGAAAGTAACAACTTATTGAATACTGATTTCATGTTAGGCACTAGGCAGGAAGTACTTTACATGGTTATTAACTTAAAGAAGTCACTAGTAACTAGAGAAGGTTACACAGAGAATATATGGCACTGGTGCTTCTAAGCTCTTACTGAGAAGTATAATTTGGGGCATACTTTGGATTGAAGGTGGTATCATTTCTTTACAGTCACAGATTAAATATCTAGGGATCTTCTTTGGAAATATATATAATGTCTTAAGTAGCTGTAAGGTCCAATTCACCCTAATAACTGGTATGTAGTCTAATGGACCTAGGTACTGGGGAAAGAAGAGAAAGCCTTAAACCCAGATGAAAGCTGCCACTCCAGGATTGCAAAGATAGCACTGACCTCAGTGAGAAAAGTAGCTAAACTATCTTAGGACTAGAATACTCAACCTGAAAATCATTTCATTATGAAAAGGCAGGAAAAGATTTGGACTTATATAATCACTGTAATATGCAAATATAACAAATATTTTAACAGTAGAGATTAAATTATTTCTAATACAGGTCAGAAACACTTTTCCAGTATATATGTGTCCAAGACTTTAAATAATCACAGAAGAGCATATCACATTAATCACATTCATGAGCATCCATCACACATCAGCCCACAGAAACAATGCAGGAGGTGAATAGAGATATAGTACCACGGAATATTGCTGGGTGGGTGAGACTGGCAGGAGCGGGGATGGGTAAGGGGCTGTAGAGTACTGAACAGGCTGTGAAGAGGACTGCAGAGGACGAACAGGCTAAGGAATAACAGGTTGGCAAACAATGTTAATGTCAGAATAAAATGTTACAAGAGTTGCATAAAATGGAAAGTTACACTTTTTTGGCAAGAGCTTAAACTACATTTATAAAGTCATCTTATACAATGATATAGGAAACAACAAAAATGATGCTAAATGAAGAAACTGCATAGTAAAAATTTTTAAAGAATACCTAGCTTTAATATACAATTAGGTAATTTTTTCATAAAAATATTTCTCTATTAGATTCACAGAAACAGGTAATTTAGATACTTCAAATCCTATTATCTAACCAAAACCTCCAGGTTAAGTCAGTAAAAGCAAAACCACTCATTCTTACTTCCTCGTTTGATGGAGGAGTTGCTCTGTTTAGCATTATGACACTAGATAATAAAAGAAAACTTCACTCATTATCAGACAATAAAAACTTACACAACATGTATGCCAATTACCATCTCTATTTGATAAGGCATGATTAAATACTCTTTTAGGACAAAAGTGCCTGAATTTTTTGCAATTTTTAAAGAAAAATATACTGTGGGTACCATTAAGAATAACAGCCTAAAGAACCACACACACACACACACACACACACACACACACACACACACAGGCACACACACAAACTTCTCTCTTTTACACAAGGAAGATAAACACATTTTTCTTGCAACTAAAAATTTTTATCGAGAGAGTAGATGCCAGGAGCTAAAAAACTAGTTACTTGAAATTTTTTTTGGTAATGAAATACTCCTGCATTTCAGGAAAATAAAATAAGTTTTATGTTTCCCAGGGACAATCAAAAACAGGTGTTATAAAAAAATGAAAAAAGTTTTCATCATTTCTAAACCTTAAGGAGTACAGCTGATCATCCGCAGGCTAACACTGGCATCTGATTTAGTTTCCCAGTCTTGCATTTATATTATCTAGTTTATTCCGAAGGGGTAATAGACATACTGGCTTAAAGACTCTGGTCATCCACATTACAGGTGGCAATCAGGCTAAGATAAGTTAAGTGACCTGTAGACAGTCATGTAAAGCAAACACTGGAGGAACCCCGGTAATTTTATCTAGTGAAAACTCTTACTTTTGGTTAAAATGTACATATATGAATCTCCCTCTGGACAGTATTTTCTAGAAGAATACTTTACAAAGGCAAAATAAATGAACTGAATAAGATTGCCTAGGAAATAATCTAAATACAGAGAAATTGTTCTGACAACTAAGATGTGTAATGATGAGTTGCACTTCTACCACAAAATCAATGCAAGAGTTTCTAAAAAGTGAAAGTCTTAGGTCAGAATCCCACAAAAAATCTAAAATTAAAGTTAAAGTACTACAAAAGGTAAAAGCTGAAAGATCTATAGAGCCACCGGTCCCTCACTAACCTCTTGATTAGCAATTAGCAAGCTTCCTAATGGATGGCAGCACATACCACACTAAATGAGGTACTGTGGCTCTAGAATTTCCAAAGTACAGGCTATTCGATCTGTTATTAAGTCAGACAACCATTAAGACATAACTTTCTTCCAGACATCTTGACCTACCATGTAAGTGTCAGATGAAACAAGAGCTTTAGACTGCTGGGGGATAAAAGAAAGGGGGGGTCCTACGAGCACCAACGGCATGAATTAACATCTCACAGTGTCAAGTGGTAACCAGACAAATGTGGGCGAGAACACTGCTTGATCAAAGTGAAATTGTGACACCACAGAAAAGAAAAAGCCTTCGCACTTCCTTTCCCTACTTAAATTGCAACTGGCTGCAAAACAACAACCACTTGAAGTGATTGATTTTAAGACACGTAGCCCATCTGAAGGCTTTGGAAATCACAGTATTATTTTGTTTGGTTATGTGAAACTTCATGGATGAATTATCTCAGTGCAAAAAATGGTTACTGAGTATCATTTGTTCGTCAGTTCTCTCTCCTGGTATCTGATGGTGAATTACCTGAAACACCTGAGGCAATACCAGGAAAATCAACCATGAAGTTTGACGCATATCCCAAGATTTCAAATTACAGTCCATTAAGGCTCTATTTCTAAAGTAAGCTGTCTACACCTTCATTTAGGATTGTCTCACCTCTGAATCAGACAAAATTATTTCTAAGAGATAATAATCTGAAATATATAACCATAGATAAACCCTTGAGACTTTTTTGAAGCTGCCAGACAAACATTATTTCCATTGAATGAAATGCAAATCAGGCCTATAAAGCTCCTGGTGAAATACAGAGCACTACAAAGACAATTACATGACAGCACGATGAAGGAAAAACACTTCAGGACCAAACTGAATGAACGCAAGGCACAGAAGGCCAGGGAGGGAGTTTTACGTAGTCTAACGTGTACCTGGAGTTTGTAATCAAATGGGGCTGCGAAGCAGACATGGGAGTCTTTGGAAACAGGTTTAGGCAACTTCCTCTACATGTATTTGTACTGTCTTAGAAGCACAGCAGAAACCTAGAAATCCTTCTACTTTATATAAACTGCCTTGCCTATTAGGAGTTTTAATTGCCAGAGGTACAATTACCTACAAAACTTTCAAAATATTTGATAATCTTATCAAACTGCTCATATGTTCTTCACCCTTGCAATACAAACGATATAACTTGTGAGCAAAACTAATGAAATTTCTCCAGTTCAAGTTTCCCACCATACTTCTTTCATACATCATCAGAAAGTATTCTGCAAGTTCTCACCAGTGGAATATTTAGATCGTCTTATGGGGAAAAAGAGGTGCAACTAACTGTACAAACTGTCTTTGAGATGTTACACAACGTTTAAAAGATAGAATAAAATAAAAGAATTTATACTGGTATAATCAGGTTCCCCAAGGATGAATAACACATCTATAGGGGAAAAATGTGAAAGTGTATGTGTAAACTCTAAACATTTATACAAATTCAAGACACTACTAAGAGTGATTCTGTGAATTCTAATTTGGAGTGTTTTTGCCTCTCTCTTTCATAAGGTAGGTGGGATGGAGGGTAACCTCCAGAACTTGAGCAACTCAACTCAGTTTCTTCTATCTTCTTGATCTGTTGAACCTTAGAGGAACTTACTTTGCTCAGTGGGATAGTCTTTTTTTTTTTTTTTATTCCTTTTCTCCATTTCTTGCTGTTGTAGAATAGGGAGAACATACTCACCACATAAGCTCATAAGACACAAAATTTCCTTCTTTCCAATATACACTCTATATTTATTAGCTGAAAATCCTGTGAAGTTAACCTTTCTTCCTACAAGCAGGGAATGGGACATCACTGGTACAGAATATTAAAGTTCTAAGAAATACTTAGGTATAATTGGGTAATTATAATTAGTGAGTTTAATCCCAAATATGCAAAAGCGGATGAACTTAGCATTATGTAATCATGGATATGTGCACCTGTGAGAAAATGTGATTAGCTGCTTGTTGTTGAGGTGGTGGAGGTGGCAAAGGTGGCTGTGGAGGTCCAGGCACTTGGGTTCTAACTGGTTGTTGAGTCATAGGAGGATTATACACAACTGGACTTCCATCTGGGTTTATGAAGGGCTGACCTGAAAAATTAAAAGAGGAGGGAAAAAAATACTTTAACCATAGAGATCGAACATAGGTCATTCTATGAATAATTTACAACACATGTCTATAATCCTTATTCACAATCCTCAAGACCCAGGTTTCTGAAAACCAAAAGATTTACTCAGCAGGGGAAACAAAGTCTGACCTTGCAAGAGGTTATTTTAATACTCTTTAAATTTTTCTCACTTAGTGTAAAAATTTGAAAACTGTGCTGCAGTGTTTTACTATAGGGGTGCTGCTCCAAAATCTACTGAAGTTATTTAATAATATGTAGTGTTTTTTGAAAACCTCTGAATCCTGAAACATCTTGCTCCAGGGACTCAGGTATAGGACTGTGGTCCTGTAGTGCTGTAACACAATTCAGTTTTAAGAAAAAATTCTTGAATTTGGGATACTGGAATATTACTAATTAGCCTGTATCAGGTGGTGAGAAAGAGCTAATTTACAGACCACACTGCGTATACTTTAGTGATATTAACACTGGATGAAAATTAAAAATGGTTGATAGCTTCAAATTTCAAATCATGGACTCGATGGCAGAGTCCTTATTTTATAACTTCTAAAATAATTTCTTTTTAATTCCAGTGAGCTTGATTCATAGGTGAGAGAAAACTTTTGTATTGATTTTGTGGCTTTTTGTTATTGCTTACTAATTACGGGGGGATATCTGAAGTGCTTAAGTAAATAAATTCTATTCTCTTTTCTATATATACATTCTAAACAACTTTTTTTTTATTATAGAAAGTAATATTTTTATTGTGGGAAAATAACCAATAGAGATCAAAAGAAAATAATCTTATGGTTAACAATTTAGATACCTTCTTCCAGACTTTTTTTTCAATGCATATGTAAATAAATTCACAAAAATTTGTATTTTTCCTTATCCTATATAGTATATTATTTAAAAAAAAAAAAAAGAAAACAGGGGTGCCTGGGTGGCTCAGTCATTAAGCGTCTGCCTTTGGCTCAGGTCATGATCCCAGGCGTCCTGGGATCGAGTCCCACATCGAGCTCCCTGCTCCGCGGGAAGCCTGCTTCTCCCTCTCCCACTCCCCTGCTTGTGTTCCCTCTCTCACTGTCTCTGTCAAATAAATAAATAAAATCTTGGGCGCCTGGGTGGCTCAGTTGGTTAAGCGACTGCCTTCGGCTCAGGTCATGATCCTGGAGTCCTGGGATCGAGTCCCACATCAGGCTTCCTGCTCAGCAGGGAGTCTGCTTCTCCCTCTGACCCTCTTCCCTCTCATGCTTTCTATCTCTCATTCTCTCTCTCTCTCAAATAAATAAATAAAATCTTTAAAATAAAAAAATAAAAAAATAAATAAAATCTTAAAAACAAAACAAAAAAACAAAAAGAAAAAGGACTATGTGACATACACGATGATATATCCATGTAGAATGGAAGGAATACAGAAGAAAGAGAAATTTGACTGAATAATAGTTCTTAAAACTGTTTTCATAATATCCTTTCTTCCATGGTAAATCCCCATCCCCATTTTTTTTGGAACTTATGACATATAATAAAATAAAATAATTGTGGGGAGAGAAGAATATACTGTCCACTGATACCAAGAGGACAAATTCCTTCAAATTCAAGTCATATTGGGTATTTATTGATGGTTAAATAATTATGAAAAAAATGGTGGAGAAGATTTGGGTGGAGGCATGTTTTAAAAGTAACTTGAGGACTGTCTGGAAAAAGTTGGATGTGTTGCCATGCTGTTCTCAAAAAGCAAAGAGACCACTTTTGGACACATTAAGACTACAATTCAATTTCAGGTTGATCAGTTGCTCACTCTATCATTTCCTATTCAGTTGAACCTTTCATATTATCAAAAACTCATTAACTAAGATGTTTTGAATGAAAAATAATAGTAAACAGTAAATTAAGTCATCTTATATCCTGCTTCAGGAAAACAAGAAGTTTAGTAATATAATAAATCTGAAGGATAGGAAGATAATGGTTATTAAGCAAAAACTGAATTTCTGAATAGTCAGTTACTCAATTCTTATAATAGAAACAATAGTCTCAACACTTTATCTTAAAAAAGAGATGCAAAGAAATCTGAAGGTAACGAGTTCCAAGCCATGGTCTTCTCTACAACGAACAAAAGGAAAGGTTCAGGAGCACACACTGACCCTGATACTCTCACCTGTACCTACCTTGCCCAGCTACTAATGTATGATGTGACCACATCAGTTAAGTGTGAGAATTTCTAAGGAAGGTTATCAAATGATTTGTAAGATTGTTCTCATTATCTCACAAAATTATTGGACTATAATACTGTGAATAGAGACCAAGACTTCATGTGATCTTTCAAAGATCATGTTTTCCATATTTGTTCATACTGCATGCATAATGAAACATATTATGACTACAGTTTCTGAGTCTCTGAGGTTCAGTTTCCTTATCTGTAAATGAAGATTTCACCTACCTAATAGGGTTGTTATGATTATAAATAATGTATTTAAAGCACCTAACACATTACATGACACATAGTAAATGCTTAATAAATGAGAATTATTACCTAACTGGAAGAATATGTGTCTTCAATATTAATTCATAAAGACTACCTAGTTCCTTTTACTAATAATAATAATAAGAAGAAGAATAAGAATAAGTCCCTTACCTTTTCCTCAGTAGAAAACAATTACCATATTCAGGAGAACAATTACTTATAGGTTCTTTCTACTTCATTCTATAACGAATAAGAGCTGCTTATTTTCTCCTTCTTCATGAAATGTATACTATTTTCCCCAGGATAATTTTTATTTTTTTAAATCAAATAAAGTTCTTTGAATGGTGGTTGTCTTATTTCTAGGAAATGAACTGTTTTTTTCAATTATGGTTAGGCATTATTTGGCCTAAAAGATGACATCTGGATGTTACAAAGAGAAAAATACTTTTTTGATATAAATATGTCTTAGAACATTTTCTAGCAGAAATGTTTTATTAAAGTTCTAGGGAAAATGCTAATTACTCATGAAAAATAAAAAGCTGACAACACATATACAAATAATACATTTAGTACATTCTTTAATTTTCAATAACTCCTGCTATCTCAACTGAAATAAACACCTTTTTCTGGATACCAACCTGTTTGTGGGTTGATCAGAATACTGCCAGGTGGTATGCCTGCCGCTTCCAAGGGAAGCAAAAAGAAGCTAGTGCTAGGAGATGCGACTTGCCCATTTAGGCCACCATCAAAGGAAAGAGAGCTATGAGTGCTGACAGTTGGATAGACGACAGGTGCGCCATGAGAAGACTGGCTGAGAGCTGTACCTGGAAGAGGCTGCTGGATGTGAGAAAGAGAGCCCGTAGATGACCCTACACTACCAGAAGACTCAGAACCTAGGGGAGGAGTAATGAAAAATATGGATTTTTTAAACCTCATATAAAAACGCAGGTTTTAAATACGTAACAATAAAATTCACATTGCATAACATGCGGTTACTACATAAAAGCATTGGGTATTTTTGATTTACTGTATAATTTTGCTTCCCCTCCCCATCATGAACAAGTTTAATACAGCAAACTGATCACATAAGTTGTCAGAGATGTCATAGCGAAGGCATGCAACTTAAGCAAGTTTATAATACCACCAGCTACAGACAGCCACAAAAAGCACATTACCCACATTCCCCAAAGCACAAGGTTATGTACATTTTACCTTTTTAGATTAATACTTAGGAATATACAGATTATAATTTTCCCCCAGGAAAAAGAACATAGCACAGCCAAATGCCCAAAACCTCTTATATCAGAAACCCCTTATCTATAAGAACACAGAAAGATTAAGAATAGTGTAGGAGATAACAAAAATGATAAATTCTCTATCAAGAGAAACAATTGTGAAGTTTCACTGCAGAGTTCCATTTTTAAGCTCATAATCATAGCATCTTCCTATAATGTAAAGTCAACTTTGCATTTTTTTTCATATCAAGGGACAAAGATAGCATGAAAAATAATCTAAGTACTTATATTAGCATCAGTTTAAAATTTATTTTCACTAAACTTAGTAAATTTGATAATTTATTTTTAACTGTTTTCACTCCTGCAATCTTATTTCCTTTTCTATTACCCAGAGACTGAAAATGTCACTGACTTTAAGGATAATAGCTAAAAGTGGATAATAAGACAATCAAAGAAGGAAAAGATTTTGAAAATGTATATAGTTAATTAGGTTTTGAATAAGAGTTGACTCTGGGATGGAGAATTAATCTTTAATGAATGAAATCAACAAATATGATACACTATACAGATCTGCCTTCTGAAGGATAACTTCTATTTTAAGTTGTGCCAAATGACTACTGATAAAAACCCTATCAAAAATAATTTTTCCCTATTAAAAGAGGTGATGTTTCTTTTCACCTCTGAAGATAATACAAATTAAAAACAGTAGACGATCTTAAATGTTTTTATTCAGCAGTATGTGCCTAAGTGACATTCTCATAATTTTTTTCTGTTGTGATGACTGAGTGGCCATTTTCCAAATAAATGCGTATCTTGTACATATGCATATTTTTATATTAATAAAATTTACCTATCTCTAGCAATATTCTATCATATACACTAAGACATTTTTAATATCCATATTATAAGCTGAAAAGGTGACAAGTGCAATTCATAAGCCTTAACAATTTAAAGCACTGACTATAGATAAGGTTTAAAAAAAAAATACTCGGCTACCTTCAAATCTCTCCCTTTGACTGTTATCTGTACAATACCATATGTCTAGGCTAAACCAAATAAGCTAAAGATAGCCATTTCTGCTAACTTTCAATGCTTATTTTGGGATAAAAATAAAGATCTATAAGGATTCTAAGAGAGACGTGAGCTTCTTTAGTACTGAACCCAGTTGGTGAAGGTGAAGAGAAAGTGTATGAGCCTAAATGTCAGGCACTGTAAAAGCAAAGAAACTAGGAAAATGAGGATGTTACTGAAATGTTTACTCATTCACTATAATTACATCACATTATTTTTCCTTAGTTTTAAAATTCCTGAGAAACTTCTTGACAATTTTATTGATGTTTTGAATAGCAAACGAAGGACTTTATCATGAAAAATGCAATCAATAATTGATAGTATTAGCTGAAAATGCAATCCATGTTAAATAATCCTGGGTGAGAAATGAGGCCTTCCAATTATAAATAAGCAATGAAGAATTTCCAACCACCTCTGGGGACTCAAACAGGAGATGACATTTTACTGAACTAACTTGATTAAGTTTATGTCACAACAGAGAATTTTTACTATAATTGATGTTTGTAATTCTCTCTCCAACAGAGAACGAATCTTAATATATATATTACCTCTTAAGTACTGTGGAGGTGTTCAATGCACTGCTGGTAAGAATTTTATATATTAGGATAACTGCAAAAGCCACATGATTAATGGGTAAGACAATAAGAAACTAATGTTTGATTGCACAGCTGTAGATAAATATTTATACCTGTTTTTGAAAGCCTGCCTATGCTTTTGCTGCTCCCAGAACTATCACCTCTTGTCAGGACTGAGATTCCACTGAAGCTGCTGGCTTTAGTTACAGCAGGCTTGAAGTTTCGGAGAGAACTGTCAGAATCCGTGCTGCTCCAGGGTCGTGGTTCAGAATACTTCAGCTCATTCTCAGTGCTGCTTTGATGGCTATTTGTTGACCTCCCCGAAGCATCTTTATTAACTCTGTAATTTAGAAATACAACTTTAAGAAGCTAATAGGAACAAAAGGGGAAAGAATAGAGAAGAAAATGCTTTGAAATTTCAATACAGCATGAAAACATGCTTCCAATACCTAAATATCTGACGCCTCTGCTGGGTACTACTAGCATCCTCATCTTGGATTCTGTTGGCATTTTAATAAGACATTTTAATTTTTATTAGCATCAGTCAGATAGTTAACAAACGAATGTTAAAAATTCCCTCACCTTTTGTCAATAATATAATTCTCTTGGGAACACAGGGACTAGAAAGAAAGAATAGATATAAAAAGTTGAGCTTTTGTCAAATACAGCATGCATCTGTAAACCAATGATGACAATCAAAATCATATGTAATAATATTTAAAAAGTATCACCCACATTGTCCACAAAATCCAAAATAAATAATAATGAAATTATTTCTGGCTTAGAGACACCATGCATTCTTTTAACAGATATACATCTTGAAGCCATTCATTTTTGTGGTACAGATTAATCTGAAATAAATATTCTCTTCCAAACAAGTGAAGTCATTTTCATGATTATATATTAAAGGTATACACCAATCTGTAGATTCTACCCCATTCACTCAACAAATAGTTTGATCACCTGTGCTTTGGCTGTGGCTGTAGCAATGAACAAGCAGCTATACCTCAATGTAGCTCATAGCCAAACTCTTCTAATGCTATTAACCTAGCTCAGGCAACCATTCTTCCTTTTATTATTACGACAGTCTTCTTCTTTTTTTTTTAAAAGATTTTATTTATTTATTTGACAGAGAGAGACAGCGAGAGCAGGAACACAAGCAGGGGGCGTGGGAGAGGAAGAAGCAGACTCCATGCTCAGCAGGAAGCCCGATGCGGGGCTCGATCCCAGGACCCTGGGATCATGACCTGAGCCGAAGGCAGACACTTAACCAGCTGAACCACCCAGGTGCCCCTTATGACAGTCTTCTAACTAGTTTTCCAGCTACCACTTTTTGCCCCTTTCATCCAATTTAAACAACAGAAACCACAGCAGTCTCTCTAAAATGTCAATCTGATCATGCGTCTTCCCTCAATAGCTCCCTCATGTTCTAGCACAGGGGTCAGCAAACTATGTCAGCCACCTGTTTTTGCAAATAAAGTTTTACTGGCACACAGCCATGCCCAACCATTTATGTATTTTCTAGGCCTGCTTTCACATTAAAAAGGCAGATGTGAGTTGTTGCATAAAGACTGCATGGCTCTAAAAGCCTAAAATACTAATTATCTGGCCCTTTACAGAAAAAGTTTGCTGACTCCTGCTCTAACTAAAAGCCCAACCACCTTAACCAGCTTTCGTGGTCAAGTCATCTGCTTCCTGCTTATTTCTCTAATCTAAACTTTCCTCACTTTCTCTGTCACCTAGGCTATAGTCCAGCTTCTCTGAATCTTTTAATTCCTTATCTGTCAAGTTCTCCTTTATCTCTGGGCCTCTGCAAATACTGACCCTCTACTTAAGAGGTCTCCTCTTGGAAGCTAACTCTCCCCCTCACGCCTCAGTTCTGGTTTGTGGTGCTTCTCAGCTGTGTCCTTTATTTTACCATCACGTCTCTGCACAAATCATACACCATACTGTCATTACCTGGTGATTTATTGGGGTAAAGACTTTATAAACTAGAGAGAGAAATACATCTAGTTTAGGCTCTGAGTGCAGCAGACCTGGGCTAAAATCTCAACTCTGTCATTTTCTAGCTACACAATCTTTTGCTATTTTATTCAGCCTCCTAGAACCTCAGTGTCTTCATCTGTAAAATACAAACAGTGATAGTATCTACCATATATAGGATTGCTTGGGGGATAAATTATTTTAACTGTTCATGGATATGTCCTCCAGTGCCCAGCATAGCACATACTATTGGTGCTCAATAAGGTTTGTATGAGTATTAACTGATAGTTTAGATTTTAATGTTACTCTTTGTTTTTTTAATATGGAGGAAATCTTTATCTCTGGGAGTGTTAACACAAATTACATGCATTCATATGTCCTTGAATAATACCTAGTACTGTACAGAATGGGTACTTAATAGACACAAGTAAAACCAAACCGGGTCTCTTCTCAAATACATGTATAAAATAATTAGCCACTTGAAAGATTTTTCATATAATCACTTAAAAGTAGAAAACAAATATAATCTAAAAATTAATTAATTTTATTTATTTATTTGTTTTTTTAAAAGTAGGTGCCACACCCAGTGTAGAGCCAATGCGGGGCTTGAACTCACAACCCTGAGATCAAGACCTGAGCCTAGATCAAGAGACCAACTCTTAATTGACGAAGCTACCCAGTTGCCCCTAATCAGTTTTATTTTAAAAGAAGAAACAAGTTACTTATCGAGAAAAGTCTACTACTGAGAAGAATTTAGAGTACATGATTTTGTAGACTATGACCAATGTTCTTAAAATCTCAAGTCTGTGAGAGGTCTGGAAGAAAAAAAAATTACACAAACTATATACTCAGTCTGATATACTGCTCCTGTAGTCTATCTGCATGCAACATTTGAAATATTTATCTAACTGCTTCAATGCAGCATTTTATAAGCTATTAAATTATATGAACAAGAGCGATCTCAATATTTCTAATAAGTGACTTTATACATAACAAATATGGTTACAAATAAATGATCAATAGATGAAAGAAGGAAAGAGTTCCTGTAATGCAATTAGTATACATCCTAACAGTGAGGTCTAAATCTAAGTCAGTACATACATCTTGGGAAAATATTCGGTCTCTAGCTCTCTGGTACTCTTCTTCCCTTTCTTCTATAGATTTGCTTCTTCTGTCATCTTTCAAACGTATTCTCATCTAAAGAAACAAGGACAATTAATTCTTGGGAAAATGATCTACTGGTATAAGTCCTGGACCTAGAAAAAAGCTGCAACTGTCACAGATTACCTGGTTATCATCTTTGTCAAAGCTGGAGTTATCTCTCTTGAGGATATATCGTTTCTGAAAATCTTCACCTTTATCATCCTTAATATGTTCATTGAATTTCTGATCAGGTCTAAAAAAACCCCACGGGAACAGAAGAGATAGTACACATTATTTACAGTAAAGTTAAATATAATATTTTATGTTATCAAAGCAATAAAAAATTACCACTCACTAGTGCCTCTAATAATTAATACTTGTGTTATCTCATTCACTCTTCATAATAATCTTAAGAGAAAATATTAACCACCTTATGTTACGATTGAAAGGCCATTATGAAAAATACACTGTGGGCTCTGGAATCAGACTGCTTGGGTTCAAACATTCAGCTTTACCACTTTAGTTGCTTTAGGATATGCACAAGTTACTTAACCTTTCTGTTCCCTAGTTTCCTCATTTATAAATTGAATTATAGTATACTCACTTCATAGGCTTGCTCTGAAAAGGAAATGAATTAACAGATGAACAGCACTTAAAACAGTAAATACTCAACAGAAGTTTGTTATTATTATAAATAATACTAAAAAAAACTGAGGGTCAAATGGCTTAAGCAACTGTCCAGGGTCAAGGGCAAGCGCATGGCTGAGTTGGAGCACCAGTACGTCAGACTCAAAGTCTATTTATCCTTTTTGCATTGCCTCCTCTAAATCTAAGAAAAAATTCCAGGAGAAAGAAAAAAGTATATAGTACTTCATCTTATGTTACATTCTTACAGTACCTGGTTTGGTGTGACATAATTTAAAGTAATAAAATATTTTGTGGTTGAATTACCTAACACCTAAGAGGCTCATTCAAAATGCTACCAAGTTATCAAGAATTCTTAATTATAGCAGGGTATAAATTTGTTTTATATTACTCGGAACAGGTCAAAAAATAATTCTTTTTTTGGAGGTTAAAACTTCATTAAAGTTTTGGACCTCAAGGAATAATTATGAAATCGTAACAATGGCTGAATGGTCTTTCCTCTATAGAAATGTTTCAAGTTCTAATGAGATCCAGAAGACAGACATAAGGTTATGTTCTGTGGAAAATTAAAATTATGTAAAACTTCACTTTCTAAAATATATTGTCAGCTTCAACAAATTAATTTAATACTCTTGTGACTTAATAACATCTTATTATAAAATTGGAATTATTCTTTTGAAATACATGATACATAAAAATATATTTAGAGGCACAAAGAAAGTCTAACTGAACCTGAGTAGATTTTTACATATAGTTTAAATATGTATTATACAGGGACATAATGTATTGGGAATATTCCAAGCAAATTTCTAAACCAAATAAACCTAAGTAATGGTATCTTCAGCAAACGTGACCATATATATATATCATTATATATAATGTTCAAGTAACTCTTCTGAATATGTTTTAACCTAGTGAATTTTTAATAAAGTACTGTTTCTACATCCTGTCAAATTATGCAAAAGGAGATTTAAAAATAAGAATTATCTAAGTAAGCTGGAGAAATCTCTACTTTAAAATATACTCAGATAAGTGAAACAAGAGCAGATCTCCACAAAGAGCTACATACATAACTAGGAAGAACAATAAAAAGAGTAAAAACAATTTCATGACCAAAATGATGAGGAAAAGACTGCTTTCTTTAGTGGGAGTTTGAAAGATTATTTAGTTCTGAAGATGGTAGTAGGTTATTTCTGTCACATGACTACCTGCTTACTTTTATCAACTATTTTTATAGCTGTTCAAAGTCATATTTTCTTCTTGAAGGAGTCTATACTTAGATGAGAGATTCTTATTCCAAAGTCAACTATAATGTTTGACCTAAGGCCTGGTAACTTTTCTAAAGCAGCTGGATTCCCACACCAAATAGCATTGGCAGGCATTTCAGCTAACCTTAAGACTGTCTTACCTCTTTCTTTTATAGATGCCTGATATTACTGCCCTGCAATCGCCAACTTCCCGCTCCATTGAGACACCCCAGTGGACACCGGGTTGTTGACATCCACAACACCACTGGTTCAAGGCTGGAGCGGGTAATTTGCCTATGAGGAAAAGGTAAGTTTGCATTTATTCAATGTGGAGCAGATCTCTAAGGTTTTCTGATTTACAACCTTCTTCATATTTCAGAAGATATAAAATAAGAATACAGTGTAACTTCAATGATCTGAATGTCTAGTTATAATTACATTACTGATCTATTCTTCTTTAAGTACATCATGAACATCTGTGTTTAGCTCAACTTTTGATGACTTTGATAAAGAGATTCCTAAAGCTTTCTGACACCATTCATAGCATTCAAATAACTGAGGTTACACTGTATCGAAAACCTTAGAGTCATCAGTCGAAATGTTAGACAAAATGCCTGCTAATGTACATGTGGTTGGGTATCCAGCAGCTCTGAGTAATGTTGAAAGGTATTGGCTAAATGAATTAGAGTTCTATTCACCTTCAGTTCAGCTCATATCTTATGGTTACTTGAGCTATAACGAATTGGGCAAAGACTAATTGATGAGGATATTTTTAAGAGTAAGGGACAAGTAGAGGAAAATTAAATCAGATTCACATTTGCAATAGGTAAAATATAATCTCTAAAGAAAGACAAGATCCTTTTCAAAGACATCTATCTTCATTAATTCTAAATGTAGGAACAAAAATTTAAAAATACTAGGTTCCACCGCTGTTATCTATTTAGTTGACAAAATATCATATAAAATGAAAAAAAAAAAAAGAAAAAATACCATATGAAATGGAAGAAAACCAACTTTGTTCCAGTAAACAATATGGCAGCTGTAAGAGTAAAGGCCATTATAACAGAAGGGATGTGAGTGAATTAAATACAACCATGCAAATTGAATGGTTCATAGATAAGACCCTAAGAGAAATACACCTTCAAGAAAAGCAGAAAAATAATTAATTTTAGCATTATCTATGTCGTCTGAAGCTGACTGCTGCTCATTACCACAGACCCACTCCTGCCACATATGAAATTGATATAGAAAATGTTCCCTTAAATAAGCAGATTACCACCAAAGTATAAATATTAGCTGAAATCAACTAGCTGTTTTAGGATTAGTTTTACAAATAGGCAGAAGAGGTGCTATATACATGTTAAAATTTTAGGTGCCTCTGCATTGGGCCTTTTGCTTCCAAATATCAGCAATGATGATATAATTCAGCAACACTATAAAGCTATCACTTTTTAAAGCAAATGGCTCCTCTTAACTCCTTAAAAACTTTACCTCAGTCAATTATACATAGCTCAGAAGGGGGATACAACATTATGGATAATACTATATTAATCAACAGTCCCACCTTCTTGAGATTTGTGGGATAAAGAAGCAAAACTAGAGGCTGAAAGGATGGTAAAATGATGGGAGATTAATTGAATGTGCGGGTGTCAAAATCTGCCTTAAAAAAAATTTTTTTTACACTATGTTAACTAACTTGAATTTAAAAAACCAAAACAAGCAAAACCCCCCAAATTTGCTTAAAGTTGGCCACAGCTATCTAAATTACATTAACTAAAAAATCCAAGTGAATGGTTTTCAAACATCACTGATAGGACTTCTCAAGTTCTTTTGTTTTTGCGCTTTTAAACCAGTCCTCACTGATCTGCCTTATTTTAGTCTAGACTGGTTCATTTTGTATCTAGTGCACTAAAATACATTTTATGTATTTTTTGGCCCTATTACATAAGGTTGTCATAACACTTAATTAGGCTGCTAAAACGTGGAAAACCTTGGATGAAAGGTGCTGTAGAAAGATAAAGGATGGTCACATACATACTTAACAAATGCCTATATTTGTTGATACTTACATTCTTGTATTACTAGTTTTGTTTACTATGACAGACTTCCCACTCTGATCAACATTGTGGTCTAATCCAAAGTAAGCAGCTACTCTGTGTAATAGCATCCTATGGTAAGATGTCATTGGGGGAAATTTTTTACGTGGAGACCTAGGAATAGAAGAAAAACTAATTTAGTAAATCAAGGAGAACTATGATGACAATTTGTTTTCTTGTTAAATGTCAGGACTTACTCATTATTACCAATGAAATCTAAAATTTCTTGTTCCAATTTCAACAGCATCATTCTGTCCCTGAAACAAAATATGAAGACTCATATATAAAACTTAACACTGAAATAATCATAAATACTGAATTATTATGGCTAAATTTTTCCCTAAAAACTGCACTTTGAGGAATATCGCAAACTTGATGCCAGAATATATACATGACTTCTAAAAAAGTAATGTTTAGAAAAAATAAAAGATGACTTTTTAAAATTTTTTTATTATGGAAAATTTCACACATACACAAATGTATGGAGAACTGTGTAATGAATCTCAATGTAACCTTTACCCAACTTCAACAATTACCAACATGTGGCCATTCTTAAAACAGATATATTTTGATCTGCTAAGTATCACTATGTTGGAGTCTCTTCTGTAGATACATGGATAATAAGAGCATATTAATCTTTACTTCCTTAATAAAGCTGAGAAATAGCAGGAACACAGACATCTTTAGTTAGGCTCATGACTTTGTTATCCTGAATTCTATAGAAACAGTACTCTAAAGAACATGCAATGCCAGTAATAACAGGAATACTCCTGTGGGACTCTAATGCTAGTATACAGATGGAATTATAGCAGAGAAGTATGAATTACATTACTAATTTTAACTCAGAAGGAGAAGCCTTTTCAAAATCTGTAAACTTGCATTAAACATTTTTAAGACTTTGGGAATTTTTGCCATAAAAATAAAAAATGAACCCAAGGCTTCCAATATGAAAAATAAATAAGGACTCTACGGAGAACCTGCACGTGCTCCTTTAGACCACTAGGGTCCTATTTAATGCACATATGCTGTAACGAATATTAACCGTATCACTACTCCCTGAAGGACCTCCTTGCTCACATACCAAGGACATGGCTCAAATGAGTGTTCTTGTGCTCAATGGAAATTTCATGTGCATGTGAAACACTCTGAGAACCTTCAAACTAGAAGTAGCTTTACAGATCTTTCAGTTCTGTCCCTGAATTTTTAGAGATCATTAAAACTAGGCTAAAGTTTAATGTTTTCCTCTCAAATAAACAATACAGAGTAGAATCATCTAACTCTAATAGGACAGAGGATGTGGTGCCCCTGCTTAAGCTGCCTGAAAGTCTATACTATACATCAGCCCTGAGTTTGACCTCCTTCTAGTTGCAAAGAAGTCTCATAAAAACCGAGTAATATTTGACATATATATATATATATATATATATATATATATATATATATATATATA